CTAGAGCAAAAACCTCCCAAAAAAAAAAAAAAAAAAACAAAACTAGGCTGTCAGAGTAGTGTTTTAAAAAACTGTATTAGTTGAGTGCTAAAATTCAAAATGGAGAATAGTAATCTAGAGAATGCAGAATTTGGATCGCTTGTGTAAGAATCTCCTGGAACACCTGTTAAATTAATTATTTGCTGAGTTTCACCCTCAATCCACTGAATCTTTCTCCTGGGTTGTGGCCCAGGAATTTGCCATTTTAACAGGCATTCCAGATGATTCTAATGCAAGTAAAACACAGATCACCATCTGTGAAATTTGGGTCAAGGTCATTTATACTACTATATATATATATAACGCAGACACACTCAGCATGAGTTTCAAGCTGGCTGTGGGACTCAAATCACAGTCAGCCATGTGGGAGTCCAGAGATGTAAGCACTATTCTTCTGGTCCCTTACACTACAATTTGAAGATCTATTTTCAGAAATTATCCTCAGGTGTTCTTTCCTTTCTCTAAACTTAACCTAACTTTTCTAACCTTCTCAGAATAAGTCAAGTAATAGACATTAAATACCTATGATATATTCTGCAGTAATGTAACTCTTTCAATAATTTCATTTCACAAAGTAAATGAAGGAAAATTTTCTTTATTTTTATAAAATCATAAGGTGGATATATTTTCTACGTGTTCTAGGTAAACACAGAAAATATGAGTAAATTATATAGTATCTCTAGCTGTTCACTTTTATGTATATGACTCTGCAGAAAGAAATTACCTGATAGAGTTATAAATGGCCAGTGGAGTTTGATCCTTTTCTTTGGCTATTCTCATCATATCTAACACTGCCATCCCAAGACATTCTTCCTGTGTTTCATGAGTCACAGGTATTTTTATCCATCCTTGCACAAAATCATGCCGCCACTAAAGAAAACAAAAAAATAAGACAATATGGCATCATATGTGTCAAATGTGATAACATTTCAATCTACTATCATATTTTACCCAATAATGTAATTTCTAGAACATATTCATTTAAAGGCAAAAATAAACTCCTCCTTTGTCATTTTAAATCATTTTGTCATAAAAATTTAGTAGAAGTTCATTTGCAAATGGAAACTGATTTAAATTGGATTCCCAATTATAAAGTACCTATGACACCAAATTTTCACTACGTATATGTTCAAATTATTGGGTCATCAGAAAAGTGATGACACATTTTTTGCACAGAAAAACAGGAAAATACGTCATGACTTTTCTGACAACCCAATATATCATCTATATAAAAATTATTAAAACAGATATTATAATAAATGTATCCTGAGTTCCTTCTCCTCTATTTTCCTCTTAGCATTTTGGGTAAGCATGCACAAGAGCCCTGCATGTCTTTCAAGTTGCCGATTCCAGGACTCAAACCAAGCCGTTAGTCATATGGGGTCCAGTTGTCTTGACCCTAATACCACCTCTTGGCCCCATTATCTGATTTCTTTATATTTCATAACTCATTATTTCAGTCTGAACTTGTCCAGGAATTTAGGGGGAAAAAAAAAACTCTAAATAATCTTACTGTCTAATATTTCAGTGGCTTATGCCCACATAAAGAATATGAAATTCAGTCTATTTTATAGAAATCCTTAAAATTATCTAAAGCCCTAAAAATAAAAAGAAAGAAGATTGAAAAGGGCTAATTCAATGAATCTTTATAAAACAGAGCTATTATCCATAAACCATGGGATTACATATTAGTCATGAAGACTCAATCTATTACCTTTGTAACTGCTATACAAGAAGTAACTGCAGTTTGCCCACATGCAATTTTTTCCTGATTAAGAGATATACTACACAGCAAGATATTTATTATTTAATGCACGTTTAAAAAACTTAGTGCTATCATACCTGAGCAAAAAGATAAGACATGACAAAGTCATCAAGAAGAGGGGCTTCAGCACCTCGAGACACTCCATGCCGATAGGTTCTGTTGCTGCCATTACAATACCAGTGAGGAAAATAAAATCTATAAGACAAGTAAAAAATTCAGTCAACCTCCAGGCAGTTCTTTTTTGTTTTAGAGAGAGATTTTTGCTATAGGGCATGTGTACTCACTGAAGAGAGAGAGACAGAAAGTGAAAAATTAGCGCTATCCCTCCCCCCCCAAAAGGGGAGGCAGGTGGCCATGCGGCAATCCCTTCTCCTCCATTCTTCTCTCAGGATTTTGGGCACGCACACATGCTCAGCCTGAGTTTTAAGTCACCAGGTCCAGGGCTTGAACAATAGTCAACTACGTGGGTGTCTAGCGACATAATCATTTATGCCCTCTGCTGGTCCCTAGACAGTTCTAATGCAAACATACTGTGTACATATAACCAATTACAGCATACTGAAAGGTATTAACCCATAATCAGAAAACATAGCTACCAGTGTTAAATATAATTTGAGGACAGACAGATATGTGGATAAGACCATGATAACAACATAGGTAGAAAATACAAGAAACATAAGTGTAATATCAATATATTGCTTCATTTGAGTAGAAACAATAGTAGGAAACAGAAAAAATGTAGAAATAAAATATTAATCACCAGTAAAAACTAAAATTAAGCCAGTAACATCAATAATGAAATCTGAAAATGCTAATTTGGTGTGAAAACAAATCATTGCTGCTTCTTTTTGTAGAAAGAGAGGTTAAAAAAATCTGTCCTTCAGGGGCCATCAGTTGGCATAGTGGTGAAGGCACTGGATTCCCACAGGGTCAACTGCAGTTCAAGTACTGGACCCGTTGGCCTGAAACTCACACCAGTCATGTGTGTGTGTGCCCAAAATCCTGAAAGGAGAATGGAGAAGAAGGGATTGCAGCGTGCCATTCTCCTAGAGCAGTGATTTTTCACTTTCTGTCTCTCTGTGTCTATCTGTCTATCTGGTGGGCACACAATGCCCCATAGTGAAAATCTCTACAACAACAATGACAAAAATGAAACTGTCCTTCAAAGAAACAAAAACATACTCTATATTGATTTTTTTTTTTTTAGTAAGAGTTTTGAGATATAATTTATATTCCACAAAGCTGATCCACTCAAAGTGCAAATTCAATGTTTTTTAGTATATTCAGTGTTGTACAAATATCACCACAGTCTAACACTTAGAACATCTAAAAGAAACTCCATACCCATGAGCCATCACAGCACATTATCCACTCCCCAAATGTAAGTTACCACTAATCTTTCTATCTCTATAACTTTGCCTATAAAATTCTGGACATTTTACATAAATGACATCATATAATATGTGGTATTTTCTATCTATTTTCTTTCTTTTTTTTTTTAATAAGTTTTTGCCTTAGGGCATAGGTGCTCACCAGAGAGAGAGAGACCGAGACAGTGATTATTTTGACCAGATCTCACTGTCACA